TTCCATACCTTATTAATAATGTGTGATTCACACATTGAAAGAACCTGAATATAAAACTACCAAACTGAATATAATGAAACAAACACAGTAAAGGAAAAACTGAGTTATTCACAAAAAAAGATTTATATTTTTAAACATTTTAACTTTAGAGTCAACCTCTGTTGGCTGTCTGTGCAGCACTCTGCTGATTTTATTAGGCTTTTTACAAACTAATCATATCTGCAGAAAAGTGCCGGTAACCACGGGTCTTTAGTGTTCTGAACCCGAGGAAGGCGATGATAAACCGGGTTAAAAAGGTCAACACTCACGTTCCCGCAGCCTGTTCTTGAAGTCGGGGTCACTCCGTCTTTTCCTGTCAAAATAAACGCAGTAGCCAACGAACAGCGCCCCGCACAGCCCCGCAGCTATCGCGCTTGTTCTGCCGCCCATTTTCACCCTTTAAAACTGATCAAAAAGAAAAAACTTTAAAAAAAAGTGACTTAATTTAGATTTGATTTTCTTCTGCGGCCAGTTTCTATCAGGAGGCTAGCGGAGGCTCAGGCCAAAAAGGACCCGAAAGGCCCCCGTCGTTAGCTGACTAAAAATGCGCCTGAATAAAAATGTTACATATAAAATCAAATGTATTCAGTCTTTGACACTTAATGCATGGTAATCATAATAATACCTGATTAAATTATTTGTACTGTACTGATTTATTAATTTAGCAACTGTATGAAAGTGAATCTAAAATATGAATAAAAAGTACACTGAACTAAAAGTTTACAAAACAGGTACAAAATGAACAACACTGTGTGTACTGGGTGCAGAAGTTAATGACAAATGAAGACATAAGATGATGTAAAACTGGTTGATCTTCTCAGCAGACCTGATGATTCGCTGCAGCCTGTGAATGTCCTCTTTGGTGGCTGAGCTGCTGTCCCATACCATGATGGACGAGGTGATGATGGGCTCAGTGACAGCTGTGTAGAACTGCACCATCACCTCCTGGGGCTGGTTGAACTTCCTCAGCTCAGCTGACTGGGAAGTACACACTCTGCAAAGCTCATTGGTTATGGAGCTGTCACACTTCAGGTCCCTGGAGATTGTTGTGCCCAGGAACACACTCAGAACTACGGAGCCCCTGAGGGGGACACAAAATAAATAAAAACGGATCCTGACTTTGAGAACCAAAGTCGGGATCCTGACAACCAAAATCGGGATTCTGAGAACCAAAGTCAGGATCCTGAGAACCAAAATTGGGATCCTGAGAACCAAAGTCAGGATCCTGAGAACCAAAGTCAGGATCCTGAGAACCAAAGACGGGATCCTGAGAACCAAAGTCAGGATCCTGAGAACCGAAGACGGGATCCTGAGAACCAAAGTCAGGATCCTGAGAACCAAAATCAGGATCCTGAGAACCAAAATCGGGATCCTGAGAACCAAAGTCAGGATCCTGAGAACCGAAGACGGGATCCTGAGAACCAAAGTCAGGATCCTGAGAACCAAAATCAGGATCCTGAGAACCAAAATCGAGATCCTGAGAACCAAAATCAGGATCCTGAGAACCAAAATCAGGATCATGAGAACCAAAGTCGGGATCCTGAGAACCAAAATCGGGATCCTGAGAACTAAAGTCAGGATCCTGAGAACTAAAGTCAGGATCCTGAGAACCGAAGACGGGATCCTGAGAACCAAAGTCAGGATCCTGAGAACCAAAATCAGGATCCTGAGAACGAAATTCAGGATCCTGAGAACCAAAGTCAGGATCCTGAGAACG